AGATAGCCCTCATGTAGCTTTGCGCGAAATTAAAAAAACAAACAAAGAAAAACAAACTTTTAACCATTTATCTGGAGGATTTGACTTTTTTTTCATTCTTAAAACTGAGACATTATTACTCTAAAATACAGTAATGTATGAAAGTTTTAAATTTTGTATTTAATCTTTCTAAGTTTTAATATACGTAATCATTGAGCTTTGTGTTATATGAATCTAGATAAAATTTACCAGCATTTAACTTGTAATGATACTAAATTGTAATTTTCTTTTGTGTTTTGCAGTTACAAAAGCCAGTGGGAAGAACTACACAGAACCAGTGAAGAAAATGCTGAAGCTGCTGAAGTAGGAATTTTTATTATTCAGCATTTAACATAAAACAGTAGCCAGTAAAGATTAGTTATATTTTCAGGTTAATAACATATTAAAATAATTCCAAAGATTTAAAAGTTTTGAAAAATGTTCTAATAGAACACTAATTTTATTTTATAAGCCATGTTGCATTTTTCAAAACTTCATCAGGTTTGTTACACTGAACAATTATTGAATGGTTAGGAGGGCAACAAATGATCTGTTCTCAAAAATCAACAACCAGTAACTATTTTGTTCTACCCCCCTTCAGTTTTCAGTTTACTAAAATCTGTTTAATTAGCACTGTCACATAGTATATTTAACCTACATCCATGAGCTTATGTGTAAATTTACCTAGGATATTGGTGAGATTTCTGACATTGTGTGTAAATTTGGCCAAAATGAATCAACATCTTTTCACTGTGTTGCAAAATATTATTGCCTGCAAAGTTCTGCTACAACATTAGGCATGCATGTTAACATCCTTGATAACCAGGCAATATTGATGTGATTTGTTGACTAATTTTTCAACACAATATTTAAAATCTTTCATATCATGTGTTGTGCTCTTGGCCAATCACAGCAAATAATTCATACTAAATGGTAGAATTATAATTTTTGGCCCATTTCAAATAATGCATCATATATTTTTCTTTTATTGAAAACAAGACATAAATTGTCTTCCAAAATCAATAGTTTTAAGGATATGGTGTACAGCTAAATGCATATGACTGGTTTTTACTAATATCCTCTAGACAAGTTCTAATTTTCAATAGAATCATTACCAGAGTTTTATTTCATTCTCTTGAAATCCCTGACATAAAGAGATGGTTGGCCTTGTCTGTGAATATGAAACTGTGTGTCAATAAACTATATGGGGCTCTCGTTATAAATTAATAACCTAACAAAATAGTCCATTTTTTTGCTTAATACTGTTACTATATAGGCAGCTATGTGTTGTAAAAAAGAATGGTTTCTACTCTGTATGAAATAGGAAACTTTTTATCAGAGGTGAATATTTTTACATTTCAACTAAAATAAGAAAGAGCATTTGCCACATGACAAAGAGAAAATTGTCCTTGCTGAAACTGCTTAGGTGATGAGTCACAAAAGTGACTATAGGCTTTTTTACTTCTCAGTTTAGTGTTTTGAAAAGATTCTGTGGCTTAGTTCTTTCCCTTCAGCTTGGTTAAGGATTGAAGTTTATTACCCCATAACTATTATAGAGATGTGTAATCTGAGGATTGTAAATGGATTTGAAAGTGTATAAAATATTAATATAGACCAGTCAATTTCGGTCTACATGTATGAAAACTCACAAGAGAAATCAAGAACCTATTTTATAGTAAGACAAGTTTTACACACACAAAAAAAACTGTTAACATTAATGATGACAAAACCATCTTAAATGTTTTTCATAATATTGTTTTACAAATATTTAAGAAGATATTCAGAAAATCAATGCACATAAACTGCTTTAAAAGTTATAATAAAGGTAATGAAGTCTTAATTGCTTAAAACTTGAAATAAAATCTCCAGTAGGGATAATAAAATTTATATTTTCGAGAGTTATTATTCTATAAATAATTTTTACTCTTTTGCCCCCAACTATTTTCTGAAACCTGGTATTGCACAATTAGAGCCATAGTAATGACACAACTAGGAGTTTAATGCATACTTTTTAAAAATTGAATTGCAGTTTGTTTGAATATGTTATAAACTATATGGTAATCATTGGATAAAGCCAGAAAGTTTTAATAAATGTTTATAAAGCTTTGGTAGTGGGGGGTCCATTTTGTGGAATTTCTCAATCTGTTTTACAATATTCTTTTATTTGTAATGATCACTGTGCATACCATCATTTCTCAAATGGCAATTAGAGGATTTAAAGATATATTTGAATATTAAATATGACTATTAAAATAGATAAGTTTTATAATTTTTTATTAAATACTTTGTTGTTAGTTTAAGCCTTTAGATTAACAGAGAAATTAAGTAATAATAAGCAGTATAACACACACAGTTAATGATTATCTTACGTTTTGTACTTGTGACATTTTGAATGGGTATTGATTATCTGGCATTATTACTTTCTAGATAAGGATGAGAAATTTGAATTATTAGCAGATAGAAATATAAAGTACTTCCATTCCCTGCTGTGAATATACTTCTGCTAGTCTGTGTTAGGGATGGAACAAATAGAAGTTTTGGTTGGATGTGAGATATCTGCCTCCTGATATCCAATTGGATCAGATAATAGATGTGGCAATATGTATTGAAAATGTGTCCCACTTATGAGATAACACTTGATTATAGTATAGTTTTAACTCTCTCAACACACGCTCAGTCAATTTGACCGACCACATGACCTCTTTGTACTCGTTTAAAGTCTTTATAGATTTAATACTTCTAACTTTCAATATAGTGTATATATCTTCAAAAAATTTGGCAGTCTTTCAGTTAATATTATAAGTCTTTCACATATCAAAAAGCATATTTTTTAGTGAAGTATTTTTAATAAAATGAAATAAAGATTTGTCCATGAATATATTGAGTATTTGTTTTGAATTGTTCGTGTGCAAAGTAGTTTTCATGTTAAAATTAAAAATACTTTTCTTCATTTCAAAAACCTCAAATTTCCTTTGTGTAATCCCTAAAACCTCCTAAATGCATTTTACATGGGTTTTTTCATTAAAACGTTATAGTTTATCTGTTATTTTCTTTACCCTATATCAAAACGGGATCAGTCAAGTCGACCGACCTCGTAACCACCACAAAAATAATTAAAATAAACCTAAATTAACCTTTTTTTTTCTAGAATGACTTCAAATTGTAACATGAAACTACATTTGTTTATCCCAAGTAGATCTAAGTTTGTAACATTATACATCTATTTACAATTAAATTTTATTGTTTTATTGCCCTTTGAACAGTATCTAACTACTTTCCGTGCCATAAAAAGTTGTAAATCAATCAGAGAACTTGCAGGTCACTTTGCACTATCAAATTACATTACCCACAAGCTGCTCGCATGCATGCCTCATGAATTATGAACCATTTTAATTATATTATTATTATTACTTATTTTACCTAATCTAGTCTTAAATAACTTAAAAAGATCCATATTTTTAGATTTTAGTTAGTCTTATAATAATGAATAAAGAATAAATATGAAAAACAAGAAATATAATACTTAACTAATCTTCTTTTTCGTGCTGTCAGGTTTTTGTGGAGAGTTAACCC